CAGGCCCCAGGAGTCTCACATGACAGGTGGTCAGGAGTTGGTTCTTTTCTCAGTAGACAAGTGGGAGCCGTTGGAAGGTCTTAAACAAAAAGTGCCAAATGTATGATGCATAAAATAAATGTAAATGCAGAACCTAATTATGCAAATTCTAATGGGAAACAAATGACAGATCTCTTTAAAAAGGTGAGTACAAACTCATTTTAAGTCAGAAATACAGCTTGAGGAGATTTAGTCCTGTAGCATTATCACCACTATAACCCTTGATTAGTTCATTTTTATAAGTGAAAATGGGCCAGAGGTCAGACAAGGCAGGTACAATTACCTTTGAGGATTTATAATAACAAAGCTGTGACAGGGAATCTTAACATTCCTATTCATTTGGGAAGCAATGAAAAGCTTTAACAAAATTATCTTGGATTGCTTTGGTCTGCTTAGGCCAATTCAGACATGCTCTCCTGACTGTGACTTTGAGAAATGTCAATACTCTTCGTGACACCCTCTCTGCTACAGAAGAAGTCTTACTGTTAATTAGTTACCAGAAGATGACCAACAGAAATAAAATTGGGGCCACAGAATGGGTAACGCTCAGGACACAAGCTGTTTAATAGACAAGAGGTCATGTGTACGGTGGTTGGTCTGGCTAAAGGGCTTGTTCATTCCTTCTATTCAATCTTGATCCTTTTAGATCAGGGAAGAAAAACATCGCTGGAATTTACTCAAACACAGGTAAAGGACTCCAGAGGTGACCTATTGAAATACTTCTACGAAGTGATAAGGATACTATAGTTGAGTACTTTGGTTGTCAGCTACAGCCTCTAGGATATACCTAAACTCAAAGGCTAACTGGAAACCAGAGCATCTGTGTACACAGACAACTCCTCTGCTCCTCCTCTTCATCATCCCCTCATCATCATATTTATGTGCCTTGCATTCTTCTACACATTTTATATACAGTAACTCACTGAATCCTCAGACCAACCCTATTAGGTCAATTTTGTTATTACACACCCCTTCCTCGTACCCTGTTCACAGACACAAACGGTTCACTGACTTTCCCAAGATCACACAAGCACTCAGCATCAGAGCTGGGAGTAGAACCCAGGCAGTCAGCTGTGGAAGCTACCCTCTTAACCACTTCACATACTGCCTCTCTGTGCCTGTTATATGTTTGAAGCATGTATGTCCATTTTTAAAATGTATTAGGGGAGAGCAGAGGCCATACCTTCTAATACGTATGTGCACAATAAATCTGAGCTAGTTAAGGCGAAACTATTATTTTTTGAAACCACGAAGTTGTTTCCTGATGAAGAATTTCCTAAACTACTGGTATTCAGTGTCTACTGAAAATAGGAATACACACTAGGAATCCTTTTCATTTAAAATAAATGTGTTCTAGCCTTGGAGAAACATTTTTAAACTATACAAGCTAGGCATTTAGAGAACAAAAGATCCTCAAAATTCCTCAATTCTAATCTATGAAATTAAATATAAACAGATGATATAGAATTACAAGTAAACCATATCAACCACTTTCTTTTTCAAAATCAAATACTGTGTCAGCAAATCAAGGTAAAATACCAAGGGGAAAAATACGGTTGCGGAGAGAAAACAAAAAACAAGACCAGGATGCTATTATTCAGCTCTATACTTAGGTTTAACAAGAGCTATCAATCTTTCTTTTCATGAACGCTAAATTGAGAAGAAAAAGAAAAGTACAGATCAGTCTTCATAACCAGAGGCTAGAAGAACTTCAAACCTGAAAACCTGAACTGACAATCTGAAGCCTCTGTAACTCTCTGAAGGACTGCACGCATTTTATTTCCTGAGTTTTTTCTTGGTTTTTAATCATTCTGCTCTATGGCTGTCCTGACAAGCAATGATGGAGTAGCGCAGTCCAGGTGCTTGCCGTTTAGAGGCAAAGGTGAAAACCACACTTTAATCTCTCAATCTTACCAAACAATTCATTTTTTCCATAAAGCTCGTGCTCAATAGGAGTAATACCACTACAGAATCTTGAGGTTTCGAGGAAAGGAAATAAAGGAAAAATCACCAGAACTTGATGTTTCTTGGTAGTTCAACTTTTTCTTCTTCATTTTTAAATAGGCTCTTTCTGAACAAAATATGTTTTGTGCTAGCAATTATATATTTTTATATGCAGGTCAAAAACAAAATGTTAACAAGTCACTTGCACTTTTACACTGGTAGCAATATGATTAGAGAAATGGTCATTTATTCAATAAATATTTATCACGTGACTACTATGTGTCGACACTGCTTTAGGCACCAAAGATTTGATAATCCTAAATAAGCCAGAAAATGCTGATGCCTCACTGAGATTTCACTCCAGAAGGAGACAGAAACAAATCAATGAAGGAGGGATCATCTTCTGTGAATAAGCACTGTGATGGAAATAAGAGGCACAGTATGAAAGAGAAGAGCTGGCAATGGGAGCACACTTTTGTAAGATGCCAAAGAGATCTCTCCAACTAGGTAGCACTGAATTGATCCCTGAAAGATGAGGAGTCAGACTGAGGGAAGTGCCCTCCCTGCAGATTGAACAGCAATTGCAAAGGTCCAGAAGAGGCAGAAAAGAACACAACATCTTGCAGGAACAGAGAGGAAACCAGTGTGGCCAGGCATGTAGCACAGGGAGGAAAGATATGAGATGACGGGGGAGATACAAGAAGCTCTTTTAAGTCATAATAAGGAATAGGACTATATTCTGGAATGGGAAGCTGCTGAATGTACTTGAGCAATGGAAATACATGATCTGATTTACATTTTTATAGATAATTGAGTCTGTTTTTTAGAGAATGGTTTGGAGGGAAGCTAGGGCGGATACTGGCAGACAACTAAGGGGGTATTATAGCCCAGGCAGGACATGGTGGTGGCTGGGGCTAGGATGATATCAGTGGAGATGGGGAGTAGCCAACTGACTGACGCCCTATTTTGAGTCTGAAACGATCGACCTTCTGACAAATTGGATGGAAGAAATGAAGACCAGGAAAGAGTGTCTTGCAAGGAGATTATTCTCCAATGAAATCATATCTGTGTGCTGCATAGCCAAAGTACAAAAGTTCAATTTCATATTATTTAAAACAGAATGTTCCAAAATGAGAAAACATCCCTAATTAAACTACATATACAGAGAATGCACCAGTTTGTTTTTTGAAAGAAATTTTAACAAAAAATCCATAGTTAATTTATAAAAGATAAAAGGAGAGAATGATTTATTTACAAATATAAAACATCAATTCAGTCCTCAAGTGATTAAGAAAAACAATCTATTTCAAGAAAATACTAAAACAAACTGGTAAGTATAAATATTATAACCACAATTGCCAAAAAATAAGTAAAAGCTTATTTTTAGCCTGCCAATTGCTTATGATATATTGAAAAGCTTTAGGAAAAAATCTTGTATTTCAAAGTCTCTGTTTCCTCTTTGTATCAGTGGTTTGAAGGGTAGGTCTAAGATCTCCTACTATTTAGAAGAAACATACTAGAAAACTTGTAAACTTATTTACAAGTACATTAATTGCCTTCTTACTCAATTATTTTAATAATTGCTATAGTCAATTCACAGATTATTCAGGTACTTTTTTCCTCCTTCTGATCAGTCAACTTTCAACTACTCAAGGGTTAAATACTAATAAGGAGCAAGAGACGATGAGAAAATCTCTGTAAAATTTGCCATTTATTATTGGTTATGTTGAGTAAAGGAAGACATTAAAACCAATTGCTGAAAGAACCAACAACATCTAAACTCAAAGGATAAAAATGCTCTGCCATCCTAGTGTCACCCGGCCATGACACTTGGACCAAGACCAAAGTGTTACAGTAACAATTATAACACAAATCAGATCTAAAACTCTGCTTCATGCTGAGCGTTTCCATTTCTCATGTGAAAATCAGCATAATATCAGCATAATATCACTATCTTGCAGTTTTTATGAGGATTATAATTAACATATGTAAAGTACCTAAAGCAATGTCTTACACATAGTACATGCTCACTAAAGGATAGCTACTGTTTTCAGGAAAATCTAAGTATAGCTCATCCCAATATACTTCTGATTAGAGATATAAATTTTTTTTTTTTTGAAATAAAGCATTTTTACTGAAATAATCACTTCAAATGTACAAGGATCAGGATTAACACTCTAAAGTGAGGTTTTCATCCTATTGTTCCTTTGATTGAGTAATATAGCTGGATTATACCACCCAGGAAATTAATACCAGGCTCCTGAGCCTCTGAACGTCCACCTTCATTTGCCCTATTGATGAGCGATTGCTTAATCTCTCTTAAATTCTCTTTGTTCCAGTGAGACAGATCCCATTATATTTTCCTGCCTACATTTTAAAAATTAGTTCAAACGTATGTAAGATGAGCATGAGGCCTGTGTCTTACTCCTTTTTGTATTCCTACATGCCTGACACAAGGATCTGGACGGATAAAAATGCCTACTGTGACTATGCTCAGATAATTCCTCAAACCTAGAACAGGTTGCTAAATAAAATACCATTTTTTTTGGAACCATGCTTAAGCTTTATTTTACTTACACACACACAATAAGAACAAAATGAACTCCTTGATATCCCTTAGTATGCTGAGAGAATATGACTGAAAATTTGTCAGTTCTTCCTACGTGCTGACATTATCTACATTATCTCCCCAGTTAGGATGTCTGTCCTTAAGGGAAGGGGCTGAGTTTCACATTTCTTTGGAATAACCCTTAAATCCTGAAACAGAATTGCTTGGCCCTAAGGTAGACATCAGTGAATTCTGTTGAGAATTCACTCAGCATTCCAACCTCGAGGTAAGTCCCTGATGCAGCACACAAAATAATATCTGTGCCTGGAAGCATTTATAAATCCTCAAAAAATATTTCTCTACTGCAAGATCAAATTTAAAATCTTAAGGGAAAACACATCAAAATTTCTTTTGATAATGAAATAAAGTTTTATCAGATAACAAAATCTAAAAGGAGCAGAAAAGATACCTTCAAGCAGTTTTTTCTCTGAAGAGAGTTTAGAAGCAGCAGAAGGAGCCTGATATAAAAAGTCACAGAGGAACGTGGACTGGGACGACTCTTGACTTAATCCACCTTCAGAATGAACGTCATGTTGAGGGAAATCTAGAAAAATTACAGAAATAATACATTTGAAATATAAACAATTTTCCCTTGGCTTACAAACACGTAGGGGAGTTTTGATCCAGAAGAAAAACTACCTCACATATACCACAGAATAAATACACAGAGATATTTTACTTTGCATACAATTTGCAAATAAGCACTTAAGTTGTGTTTATCATTCATATGTGAAAATCAGATTTAATTTTGGTGAAAATGATTATGTGGAATTAACTATTTTAATCTTCCAGTTATATGATTAAAGAAACATAAAAAATTTATTGCCTAAACTTTTTCTTGAAATAAAATAAAGTCTTAAGCATGTTCCATCTTTTTTGGTAATTACATTTTTTTTCATTCTGACAATTTTTCTTGTTTGAGAAATAAACAGATGTGTGCTTCACTCCTTTTAGGGGTATGTCAGAAGAGAGCAGGGTAATGCAGGGATAGGAACTAACCTGAGAATTTGTTATGGTGGAGAAATTCCATTTGCAGACTCTGCCCAGCCTTCTTGGCCAGCAGATAGGGGGTGCTATGCACAGGGTCTCCAGTTGCACACATGACATCTGCTCCACTGAACAGCAAAGCCATTGTTTCCAGAACATCCGATTTCACTACAGCAGCACACAGAGCCTGGTTGTTAAAAGAAAATATACCTTTCACGGGAAGAAAATACAATTCTAGCCATTAAAAGAAGTGAAAGTCTGCCAATCATTTATAAGACGAAGTCTGTATTCCTTTTTAACGAAGATAGCTAATAATAATTATGCGCTGAATTAAGCACCAGGCTCAAAAGGCCTGCTTCGTATGAATTTAAATTACAACCCAAGACCTCCAAGTTTCAAATCATTGTTTTGTTGCTGTGATGTTCTAAACCTTCCCATCCATCATATTTGCTTTGCAAAACATGTTTTATGCTTATACACTATGATAATGGCTGATGCTCAGAAAATTCAAAACATTTCAAATGTAATAATGAAGTATCAAAAAGATATATGCACCCCTATGTTCACTGCAGCATTATTCACGATAGCCGAGATTTAGAAACAATCTAAGTGCCCACCAACTGATGAATGGATAAAGAAGATGTGCTATATATAAACAATGGAATACTACTCAGCTATAAAAAAAAGATGAAATCTTGCCATTTGCAACAACATGGATTGATCTTGAGAGAATTATGCTAAGCAAAATAAGTTAGGTGGAAAAAGTCAAATACTGTATGATTTCACCGATATGTGGAAGACAAAAACAATAACAAACAAACATAGATACACAAAATAGATCAGTGGTTACCAGAGGGGAAGTGGGGTGGGAGGAGAGTGAAAGGGGTAAAAGGGCACATATGTATGGTGACGGATGGACTTTTGGTGGTGAACATGATATAGTCTATACAGAAGTTGAAATATAATGATGTGCATCTGAAATTTACATAATGTTATAAACCAATGTTATCTCCATAAAAAACAAATTTAAAAAACTAAGGAAGTATCCCCTAAATTTTTTTGTCATATTAATATTGTATGTATGTATGTATTTTCCAGTCTAATAAGGATCTGTAGAATTTTTTAAATGTTATGCTTTGGGAATTTGAAAGATGAGCGCAAAGTAAATTTGGGACCTTTCCTTTTGTGGGGGTGGGAGTTTGGGTGGGGAGGAGGAACAGCAAGCAAGAGGCAATAAAACAACTCCATTGACTTGTGTTATACATCGTCATTGTACAAACACTAGGAACTTCTGTAACCTCTTTTTTTTTTTTCTGCCTTGAAGTAATAAGCTGTCTTCACATCTCTTCCCACTCTCCTTTCCTGCTTTCTCAATTTACTGGCTTCCCATTTTCTTCCAAACCCTCTGATTTTGGTACCTTGATTCCATCTGACTTTCTAGCCTCAGACTCACCACTCTACCCCTTCCCAACATGGTATACCTGGCAGATCACTGGTTAATCTGCCCTCTGTAATGCAACTCCAGCACAATTGCTCATTAAATATACTAACAGGCAGCTCAGAATGTACAGCTGGGAAGTCCCAGGATGCATTCACAGTTCCAGCCCTGGAGGTCAACTGTTAAAAAAAAGTACTTTATTTTCTCTACCATGGTCTAGCTGACCTCCAGAATCTCCTTTGCATCAGAATCAAGAAGCCTGAATTCTTATACCTGACTTCGTACTAATTTGCTAGATGAATCCCTACTCCTCCTTGGGTCTTAATTTTTCCTCACCTGCAAAATAAGGGTGTTGGAAAAGATAACAGCTAACATCCCTTCTACTGTAATAGCCTTAGACTGCCCTCTCATTTAATCACAAGTATTTCCTCTTATTCTCTCTCTCATCACCCTTTTGTTTTCCTTCACAGAACACTGTATTTGCTATGGTGTGTTTACTGCAGTCTAGCTGTTTATGGTCAGTCTCCCCTACTTGACTACCACTCTCAGGAATAAAAGAAGCACATTTACTTTTTACTACAATTATATCCCAAGCACCTAAAAAAGAACTCAACACTCGGTAAGTGTGCAATAAATATCTACTCGCCAAGAACATTCAATGGGGAAAGGATAGTCTCTTCAACAAATAGTGTTGGGAAACTAGATAACCACATACAGAAAGATGAATTTGGACCCCTATCTTACACCACACACAAAAATTAACTCAAAATGGATTAAAGACTTACACATAAGACATGATACCTTAAAACTCCTAGGAAAAAAACATTGTAAAGAAGCATCTTGACATTGGTCTTGGCAATGATTTTTTGTATATGACACCAAAGGCACAAACAACAAAAGAAAAAATCAATAAGGGGGACTATATCAAATTAGAAAGCTGCTGCAAGGCAAAAGAAATGATGAACAAAATGAAAACGCAACCTACAGGATGGGAGAAAATATTTACAAACCATACATTGGATGAGGGATTAATATCCAAAATATATGAAGAACTCATACAACTCAATAACAAAAAACAAACAATCCAATTAAAACAAGGGCAGAGGAACTGAATACACATTTTTCCAAGGAAGTCATCCAAACGGTCAACAGGTACCTGAAGAGACGTTCAACATCATCAATCATCAGGGAAATGCAAATCAAAACCACAATGAGATATCACCTCACACCTGTTAGAATGGCAATTACCAAGAAGACAAGAGATCACAAATGTTGGTGAGGATGTAGAGAAAAGGCAACTCTTGTGCACTATTGGTGGGAATGTAAATTGGTTCAGCCACTATGGAAAACAGTATAGAGATTCTTCAAAAAATTTAAAAGACAACTACCATATGATCCAACAATCCAACTTCTGGGTATATATTCAAAGGAAATGAAAACGGGATAGCAAAAAGACATCTATACTCTCAAGTTTACTGCAGCATTATTCATAGCAGCCAAGATATGGATACAATCTTAAGTGTCCATCAATTGATGTATGGATAAAGAGATGTATGTATGTACATATATACATACACATATATATATACACATACATATATATATACACACAGACACACTGGAATATTATTCAGCTATGAGAAAGAAGGAAATCCTGCCATTTGGCACAACATGGATGGACCTTGAAGGCATTATGCTTAGTGAGGTTAGCCAGACAGAGAAAGACTAATATTGCATGATATCAAAAGCCAAACTTGTAGGAACAGAGAGTAGAATGGTGGTTACCAAGGGCTGGGGTAGGGAGGGAAAATTGGGGATATGTTGTTTAAGGGTACAAACTTACAACTAGAAGATAAATAAGTTTTGGAGATCTAATGCACAGCATAGTGATTATAGTCAACAATACTGTATTCTATACTCCAAAACTGCTAATAGATCTTAAATGTTCTCACTACAAAAAAGAAATGATAATTATGTGATGTGGCAGAGGTGTTAGCTACAGCTACAGTAGTGATCGTATTGCAATACATAAATGTATCAAATTGACAAGTCGAACAACTTAAACTTATACAATGTTATAGGTAATTATATCTCAATTAAAAATATCTATTCAATAAAATAAATGTATTTTTTGTAAAAATTATTCATTGACATTAAGAGCATCATTTTTAAGAAGTTCAATGTAGAAGTAAATCTTAATGGATAGACTTCCCTATAATATTCTTAGGAAGAACTCAATTGCTAGTTAATTAGTATAAAACTTATCTGATATCTTAGCTCATGGGAACTGTGTGGTGTGGCAGACAGGGCCTCATTTGGGGACATCAGTATTTACTCACTGACAAGATTCCCATCACGGACAAAAAGAGAGAAACTATTAGGGCAAGATATACCCTGGTTCTCCAACCTCACCAATTACTTCCCAAAATCCACAACTTACTACCTATATTCTTATTTATATAGGGACCTCTGGTGCACAGAATTAATCATAATCCTTGGTTTATGATACTCTGTTATCATTATTCCACACGCTGGTATAATTGGTCAGTTCTTTTAATAATGTAATTAGCACTCATGAAAACACCACCCAAAACAAAATTAAATGTCTCAGTGATAACCTATATAAATATATGGTTCCCTACCCCATCCCATCTCCCTGACTCTCCCCAACTTTGGCACCCATCCTAAATCCTGCACTTATTGTGTGTCAGTGCTTTAAAACCAATTCTAATACCAAAGATGTACAAAGAAGAAAAACAGTTTATGGGAACTAAGCCAAGAGAAGAGAAATGTAAATAATTGTATAAATCTTATAATTTCTAGAGAAGTATGGAAAAGGTCTTTATTTTTTTATTTTCCAAAATATTCAGCATAATGCTACTTACCTGGGGATCTTTATGCAATAAGCCTTGCCATTAAAAGCATACTAAAGAACTGATAACCATGAAAGAATATATTCTCTAAGCATAAAAACAATAGGCATATAAAAGTGTATGTTTTAAATATCCATACATAGAAGAGCCTCCTGACAAACAAGCAATTGAAGCCGCAATTTAAAAAAGAAAATTGCTTTTCAAATTTTCTGGCAGGATGCTTAACAAATCCTTTGCCAAAAAGGTGAAGATCAAATGGCCAGCATAAAATGGTCACAAGAAAATCTGCAATCACTCAGCCAAAGGCAATTAACACTTCAAATCAACGGGACCAAACAAACCACTGGTGGTAATAATAAATTACTTGAGTAAATGACGTTAATTTTGATGACACCAAGTCAGCAATGTACAAGCTGAAGCTACATTCAGTATTCCAGGAAAAGTTGTCAAAGTTTTAAGAATAATGGGGTATGCCTAGGTTAGCTGGAAACTTCAGTTATGGATAAAGAGTTAATCTACTATTGGTAATGAATCCTTACGTGAAACAATGGGAAAACCACTGGCACAATCTTACAAAAGGAAATAAAATTAAATTAAACAATTTTATCGAAGACTAAAAGATTTTTTACTTCTTTTCAAAATCCTTCTGACATATTTAAAAAGACATTAACATCCATGTCTATCATTATGTTTTATTGGATACCTTATTTAATTCTTCTTTGGTGAGAGATGCCAAAAGGGTTTTTCTGAATCTTCCTTCTTTGTACTTCTGAGTGATAAAGTTTTTTCTCTTTTCTACTGGCGAGTCCATGTGTAACTCTTCATCTTTTTGAAGATTACCAGCCCAAAAGTCATTTGCTCTTTTGTTTCCAATGACAATAAAAAGCTGAATTATCAAAAAATTATAAAACGTTATCAGTTCATATCAGTTCACGTGAATCTGCAGAAAACTGATTCACATTACAGATTAAAGCATAACAGTATAAAATATGCAAAAACACAAGAAAGACCCAACTCTTTCAGGAATATGGAATGTGAAAGCAGATAACTATTTCTATTTTAAATATAGTCTAGCTGCTCTTCATAATGGTAAAAGATTAGCTAAGAAAGAAATTGCAAGCAACGCAAATTGTAGCAAAAGCATTATTATTCTTCGAAGCTCAAATTGAGACAGCTTCATTTAAAATGGCTAAGTAGGTGGGCTAATTTGGTTGAGAGTGGTACTAAAACCCAAGCAGAAAATGGAAATGGGAGACAGCGAGTTAGACATGATCACAGTTAATGACAGAGCAGGGCCAAGATAAAGAATAGGAAATTTTGCCAAATGTTTTCATTCACTTTTCTAATATTTTATCCATGCTGGGTTAAAAAGAAAGAAAGTAAATTCTGGCTTAAAAAAAAAAGCTGTCAAGCCTTTAAAAGTAGTTATTACTATTAAAGCTCCTTGTACTTTTTATTTTTAAAATAATTATCTCACTTAGGAAGCATTCTGAAGGTTAAAGCAGAAAGTTACCACTGTCAAACAGGCTGCGAGCCATTTTTATAATGCAGTCAGAACTTTATCAAAGAGCTCCTGAAGTAACCCACACCATCCACTGCATACCTCCTCCCTGATCTCTGCCAACCACCACCATAGTGAAATCAGACTTACCTCGATGAGTTCATTGCTCCAAATGCTTGCATCCATTTTCAGACTTCTAACCTTGGAATCTTTTGGTCCTAAAGATCTATGTTGACCTGAAGTCAAAAAACAATTGCATGTCTATTTTAATTCATATGTAAATGTCTATTTTACCTTTTAAAGAAAGTATACGTGTGTGTACATGTATATGTGTATTTATATATCTTTTCAACTTAAAACACACTAATATCTACTTTCCACCCTAGAATAGTGGTGGTAATTATACAGAAATCATAACCAACCACAATGAAGGTAACAGCAATCACCTTCATCACCACTCTGTACAGTATAAAACTACCCTTTTAAAAGTGTGTGTATGTATATGTGTACGTATGTATGTGTGCATATACATAAATTTATATAATTTTTTCATCGTCTGGTAATTAACTAGAAATTTTAGGTAACTGAAAACATCTTATAACAGGTCTGTATAAATTACATGTATGTGAATACAGACATTATCCCTCTACTCAAAAAAAATCTAGCTACAACTCTAATAAATGTGTACTTAAAAATCTGAAGTGGATTCTTTATTCTACTAGTATGCCTGGAAGAGAATAACAGCCCACAAGTCTATTATCATCAATTCAATTCTTCTATGTAAATCATCATTCAGTCATTACTAGGCATCCAGGCATGTGTCAGATGCTGTCTTTCTAAGCTGACAAGAAAAAAAGGTACAAAGCCATTATCCTTGATCTTAAGGACCTGTTGCCTTATGAGAAGGAAAGCTCATTCCTCTCTCTACATGAGGTAAGAGGTTCCTTTCCTCCCTTCTTCCAGAGAAATGGAAAGTACTGAGAGCACAAAGCCCTAGAATTCCCATGGCAGGAATTTGCATAGCTTTGCATTTATCAAGACTATGTAAAGGCCAGATCGGTCAAACTTAGAAGCATGTAGGAAGAACTGGAAGCAATGCCAGAGTAGCCCAGGCAAGAAATAATAGAATCTGAATTGACGCAGCAGGAAGAGAAAATAGAGGGCAGATTTAGAGACACTGAGAGGATAAAAACTGAGGGAACTTGTGGGCTTTGAGGAAAGGAATGGGTGAAGAGGGTCTCTCAGGTTTTAGGGTTGAGTGTAGGGTGGACAGTGTTACTGCGGACCAAGACTTAGAATGTGCAGTTTTATGTCAACAAGCCGGGCAGCAATGAGAGCTCCATTTGTAACATGCTATTTTCAAGGTATCTTGGGCAAATCCAAGTAGAGATTCTTTTAGGTAGAATCTCTTGTAGGTAGATATAAGAGTATGGCATCCAACAGAGTGAGAATCATCTGCTCAAAAATGAGTGTTGAATTCAAATGATAGATAACATCACTCAGGAATATCAGAGTGAGAGAGCCGAGGATGTAACCCAAGGGAACACACATATTTTAGGAGTGAGTGGAGGAAAAGTAACCTGAAAAAGGATGACCAGAGTAGTAAGAGCCCACTGAGAGAGAATGGTCTCTTGGAAGTTGAGGGAGGATGGGAAGTCATAGAGAGAGATTGGCTGAGAGAGTCAAATACTGCAGAGAAGACACTCAAGATAGGAACTGACCACACAGAAATTTTTTTTTTTTTTTTTAAAGATTTTATTTATTTATTTTTTCCCCCAAAGCCCCAGTAGATAGTTGTGTGTCATAGCTGCACATCCTTCTAGTTGCTGTATGTGGGACGCGGCCCCAGCGTGGCCAGAGAAGCAGCGCGCCGGTGGGAGCCCGGGATCCGAACCCGGGCCGCCAGCAGTGGAGCGCGCTCACTTAACCACCAAGCCACGGGGCCGGCCCTGACCACACAGAAATTGAGAGGTAAAATACATTGGTAAATGTGGTGAAAACATTTTTACTGGAGTAGAGAGAAAAGAAGGCTGATGACAGATGCTGAAGAAAAACCAAAAAGTTAAAGAAATGCAGAAAACCTGCACAGACTACTTCTCTTGAAAGTATGTTGTCTATGAAAGGAAAAAAGAACAGAAAATGATACATACAAGGGAATGGTAAGTTTCCAGAAAGCTGGTGTTAACAGGACAGATTTATGCAAGTTTATATGCTAAAACAAAAGAAACCATAGTTGAATAACTTACACAGAGAGTGAAAAAGTGATGCGTGAGGATCCTAAGAAGAAAGGAAGCATAAATAGAAAGAATATCCCTGGACAACACAAAGGTTGTCTCTTCCAGTGAGACTGATGAGAAGAAAAGGTTGGGAAAAAATACAAAGTAGAGGAGGATTAACTGATGCTTTTTGTTGTTGCTATTGATGTTAATTAGCTCCGGAGGAAATCTATCTTAGTGGGATGAGAAATGTGGTAGCATAGTGCTCTAGAAAAGTATTAAGGGTTTGAAGCGACTGTGCTTGTCTTTGCTCCAGCTGAGGTGGGCACGCCTCTCTATTCTCTCAGTGAAATCTGTACTCAAGTCTAATCTTGTGCTTATCAGACTCTATTGTAATTACTCTTCACATATTTGTGCAAAAAATGTCAAGTCTTATACATCTTTTTAATTCCCAGGACCAGCATGGTACCTGGTACAGCTGAAAAAGTTGAAGTAAAGTTTAGGTTGTGGCTAACTTTCTCCAAGACCTCCATGATCACATACCTAAGCTGGGGTCCATTCCCTCTACTCACTTGGACAATTGAGCTCCAAATACAATGAGCTGTCATAGTCTGTGAAGTGTAAGATCACCATAAGAAAACCAGTCATAATACCGGTTACTTTCATAAACTTCAATACGCCTGGAAAATGCTTCTATACAAAAATTCTCATTATAAGAGATACCAGATCTGATAAACCAAGTTCAGGGCTCTGAACAACCTTGATGTGAAAAACAGGTCTTACAAAATAGGACTGGGAAAAATGGACAAATCATACAAACAGCAAGTGCGTTCAGGGTATATTCTGAAACATATTCACCTAAAACCTAAAAATTTCAACACTGTCTTTTTAAAATCCATACATGGACCAGTAGGCACAAAAAAATGATTACACGCTTAAAAATCAATTTTTACATCTAAGTCATGCATAAGAGAAGTTGAGAATTATATTTCTAAATTTGATTTAAAGGGAATAAGCTCTGTTTTCATTTTTCACAACCATTAGCTGGGACACACTATATGTGACAATAAAGAGCATTCAGCGCCAATCTGCCACCAAACAGTGATGAGCATAACTTATCACTAATTACCTGCACACTTCTTACAGATGACAACGCAGAGATTGATGGATGCCCAGTCAGGATCCGGGGCTTTACAATCTGCACAGCTCCTGTTAGACTCATTGTACCAAATCTTCTCAGCTACTTCATAATCAGAGAGAGTTTCTGCTATCGACTGCTGCACAGCTTCAATCCACTCTTGTTTCTCTTTTTCCGACTCGGCTGTAAAGCTGAAACAATTAACGTTTCTGCGTTATCGATCTCTCTTGGAAAGGCCAATTAAGCAGTATGTTCAGTGTGCATATTCATTTCACTCACAAATTAAACAGCAGCTGAAAAAACGTGCCTTCTAGGCAGTTGGATAATCTTTTCTGTTAAAAATCATCTAATTTAGAAATCTTGTTTTCCTTTAACTTTCCACACTGCTTATGACTTTGTTTACATATCTTGAACCAAAATTAACATACACGTTTTTCTGACCAGGATATAAAAATTGCCTTGCTGGATCAAAAGCTTAAATGAGAGGTCATGTTTTTTCCTAAGCAGTGGTTATATAATAATCAATAAGAGACTGGCAGAATGTCAGGACAATGGGATTATTTTGCCAAGAAAGAATGCCATGATAGTCTAAAATTAAATTATCAACAACACCCACCAGAAATTTTGACTTTTTTTCAGTCTTAAAAATAAATTCTTTTTTTTTAATTAGAATAATGTCCAGATGGCTTTAAGAAACTGAGAAACCAAAAAAGTTTTAAGTGATTACTATTCTAACACAATTCTCACTCATTTTTAGCCATGTTCTGATTTATTTTAATTCTTAGTGTTTATTGGGTGCCCAAGTGAAAGGATAAAACATTAAACATCAGTTCACCCCTACAAGAAATATTTACTGAGTACCTATGATGTGCCAGGAAATGTGCTACAGTGTTTCATACTCAGTCAATGACCCACAAAATGATGCTTCATGTTAAAATGTTCTGTTCTGAAGATGAAAATGGTTTGAAATACAATAAAAATGACACATGACTAACATATTCTTAATCTATAAGAAAACTGAGTGGGCTACGTGGATTATATTTTTTGAAGCAGTTTATGGTTCCATCATCACTATACTATTTATTAATTTCTTAGTGGTTTCTGCTTCTACATAAAGACTGGTCACAGCCACCATAGTACAATGGAAAATAGATATTTGGTCTTTGTCGCTGGTACTCAAAGGTTCCTGCTTCAGGAACACAGGTTCCTGGTACGCAGCTCCCAAAACCCTTAGAATTCCCTAAGCGATAGAAGTGTCTTTTGTAGGCTAACGAGATAACTTGTGGCTGGGGGCCTAGACAGCTTCAGGATAGGAGCTGGTCACCAGAAAGACCAAGATGTGATTAAAGAGTTGGAACTTTCAGCCAGCCCCACCCCCTGACCTCTGGGAAGGGGAGAAGGGCTGGGGATTGAGTTAATCACCAATGGCCAAGGATTTACTCAATCATGCCTATGGAATGAAAACTCCATAAGATCCCCTAAACAACAGGATTGAGAGAGCTTCCAGGTTGGTAAGTACGTTGAGGTGCTGGGAGGGTGGCGCACCCAGGAGGGCATGGAAGCTCTGCACCACTAACCTCCTGTACCCTCCCTATCCTACACAGCTCTCCCATTTGGCCATTCCGGAGTGCATTCTTTATAACAAACTGGTAATAACTAAACTGTTTTCCTGAGTTCTGTGAGCCATTCTAGCAAATTATGAAACCTGGGGAAGAGGGGGTCATGGGAACCCCGATTTGTAACCAAGTTGGACAGAAGTGTGGGTAACCTGGGGACCCAATAATTGTGACTGGCCTCTGAAGTGAGGACAGTCTTGTGGAACCGAGTCCTTAAACCTGTGGGGTCTGATGCTCACTCCAAGCAGTTAGTGGCAGAATAGGACTGAATTGTAGGACACTCAGTTGATGTCTGAAGAGTTGGAGAATTGGTTGGTGTAAGGAAAAAATCTCACATATTTGGTGTCAGAAGTGTGAGTAAAAATAGCTTGGGCAATATCCACATTTTCACTTGGGGCTTGAATGAATCTGCATATTTGAAAATAAAGCTTGTTATTCTCTATGTGAGCATTTCTTTCTTAAAATTTGAGCCAGCAGACATACTTTGACAGATAAAATGAGTAATGGACTTGGTAGTATTTTTGAAATTGCTAGGTAAGCGCTAGTCCTTCAAAGGCCTCTGACAATTGCCTCTGACCTATATAATACCCTGTGGTATGTTGAATATTTGTGACAGATGAAGTAATATGGTTGAACTCAACAGATACTGATTTATGCCTCTTCTACGTACTAAAGCTATGCAATCATTATAGGTTATTAATACATTAAGAATATATATTAAGTTTCCTGTTTCATTGTCATAATGAAGCAATTACTAGAATAGCATAAGACAAAATATATAATGAAATGCTAAAATATTTGATCAATAAGTGCCATGAGATCCATTAAATCCAGCATGATTTTAAGGTGGAGTTCCTTTTAGGAAATCACTATGGAGCAACTACAATTAGGGACTGATCTTAAAGGACCAATTGTATTTGATTAGGCTAAAAGAAGGTAAATAACAATACAGCTTAAAGACAATGTAATATTCTCGTTTTATTTTTTTCCTTTAGAATGTGAAGTAATTTTTCATATATTTGTTGATAAAAAAATTAACATACTCACCAAGCCTACTAAGAAAAAGAGGTACAGTCATGCATCACTTAACAACGGGGATATGTTCTTGGAAATGCACCATTAGGCTATCTCGTCACTGTGCGAACATCATAGACTATACTTACACAAATCTAGATGGTATAACCTACTACCTAGGCCACTTGGTACTAATCTTATGGGACCACCATCATATATGTGGTCCATCGTTGCCCAAAACATTGTTATGCAGCACATGACTATAATAAGAAAAGAAACTACTTAAATCTCATGAAATTAGTATCTTTGCAGGTTGCATCATTATTCAAGTCACTTTTACAAGGTATTTTTACATACTGGTTAATAAATTAGACAATGTAAAAAAACATATTTTACTAAGTGTCCTATAGGAAATAAAATCACCACTGGCGATGTAAAAGTGGATCGCTCAAGCTTTCCTATGGCAGTACAAACACAAAATGTTTAAATGCAGCTTACCTAAAACTCCGATAGGGAGTGATTATTTCAAAAGACTGTTTCACAGTTCGATCCACTTGCTTTACATTTGCTACATTCATAGGAATTATAGTAATACCAAGTCCACTCTTAAAATCCTAGTTTGGAGAAAAACAAAACATTATAAAGAAACAAAAATATGGATTTTGAAAGTACAATGATATTCTCTAAAATCCAATAAATCCTCCTAAATTTTACTACACCTATGTATACGGAAATAAACAACTCATTAAAAAATGGATTGAGAGTGGTTTTCTTATTTTAGGTAGTCACTTCCAACATACGATAACATGGTGCCATTCCAAGTTTGACAGTCAGGCTATTGATAAAGTCTGGGTTTCTTTCACATGCAACATAAATTGACTAGGACACAGATATTGAACCACACATGACTTGTTGTTAAAAGTTAGGCACTTTTTCATCTTTATCCAGTCACTGAGGAAACTAACAGTTAACTAACTCTTACGATGTGCTCAGCAGTCTTCTAGCTGGGGGAGCCAAAGACACTGTGAGGTTGGTGTAATTACTATTTATATCACAAGAAGGGGAAACCGAGGCTCAGAGATAAAGTTACATGGAAAGTGCAGCTGGTTGTACATGGTAGAAAGAACTAGAACCGAAGCCATCTAATTGCTCTTTGTTTCACTATATGGTGTTACCTCTGCTTGGTCACATTATTTTTCTCCTCATTTACTCTCAAACAAAAGCCTTACGTGTTTTACAATTTTATCTCATTTCCAATATTTTATTACTTTCTCCTTCCTTCAATTGGATTCTTAAAAAGCTCCTTTAATGCTCTTTTGGTATGAAAACCGCCATTTGTTCAACCCCTACAGCCACTATGTTCAACTGTCTCACCAAAATTAGAAATTGTTCAGAAGGCTACAGAGTCTGCATTCTAAAAGCATTAAAGGTTGCAATAGATGGTCAGAAGGGTTTTGGAATCTGATTTATCAAACAAATCATCTCAATACTTTAAAAAAATATAATTAATCTGTCCCTCAAAAAATGAATTATCTATGTGAACAGATGCAGATTAAACGTGCTCTGAATTCCTAAATTAAATTATGACTGGAAAAAGTAGCCGTATAAAGACAGACTACAAAAAAATATTGGTCCGTATTCAATAAGGATACTTCAAGCAGAGACTGGAAAGGAAACAATTCCCAGGCCTTCTTCTCTTTCTCTCTCGTGTTATATAAGCTAAAGGTAAAAGTACTATTTTCCTATCTACCTTGCAGACAGAAGGGGCAATATGTCATAGTTTTGGTCAATAAAATATAAATAATTCCTGGCTTCTGGGAGGAAAGGGGGAGAGAAAAGCTTTGGAAAAAGAAAGACTTTCACCCCTTGCCTTTCCATCTTTCTGAGAAATAACAGCTAGAAGCACAGAAGCCATTTTACAATGTTAGAATCCTTGAGATGAAAAGCCTGAGGACAAATTCTTGTACTCTCAGGATGCCAGAGTGAGAAAAAAATAGGAAGCATCTTGTTCCCTGGTGGCATCAGCTCTCTACTGCCTACACCGAGGGATTTGTTAAAATAAATAAATCCCTATCTACTAAAGCTACCCTTCAGGTTGTCATCTGACACAAATGTATTCCTGACTGATAAGTGAAATAAAATAATGTTATAACAAATATTCCTCCACTTGTAAAGGTATCCAGTTTCCATCCACAAATTGCAGAAAAGCTTGTCTTCCTTTTTTATTAAATGTACAAGTTTTTAGTTAGAATGAGGAAATGACTCATTTACAAAACAAGTCATTAATTGAGTATTATTTTTTTCTGATGAAAGAACAAATGACTTGTTTTGTTAGGAGAAACAAGCCAGAAACTGAGAGTCAGTAATTTAAAAGAAAAGATGCAGAGACATGTTAAGTGTTGTAAAACAATTAGAAGAATGTGATACTCCTCCACTTTGTATAGTAAGCCCACTTAACAAAAAATAATACTTAATAGATCTATATGAGGAGGGGAATCGAACTTTTCCAATCTGCCCATTTTAATCAGTTTCAGCATACTGGTACAGTGTTATACTTATTCAACTTAAAAAAACAAATTTTCGATTATCCATACCAATGCTCCTGCTGGACAATGCAAATGTTAGAGAAACCCCCAACGTATGTGATTGGAAACTGAAGCTTTCTTTTATAAATGAGGAAATAAGGTAGGGGTAGCAAGTTAAGATATTTTTAAAACAGCTTTCTGATGGCCCAGCTTGATACAGGAATAACTCCAGAATAAAATAGTTAGACTGCATGTCCTTAAAAAATTCTCCATAATGAAGCTTTTGACAAGAGCTGGGTATCAGACCACTCTCGGTTACATTCTCTGATGCGGGCCTAGCCTGCAGATACTGTGTGTTACTAAAGGCAGAGATACATACTCAGACCACCAGACTGGCAGATGGTAAGACTGACAACCTTTTATGGAAACTGATGAGCCTCATCAAGGCTCCAGACTAAATAGATGGCCCCTCATTCTTACAAGCAAGTCATGAAATGTCTACCTGGAAAGCTGCAATTTCTGTTAAAAACAAAATAAGTGAGGGTCGGCTCAAGGCCCCAAATGTTTCCCAAGCCAGGCAAAGATGATTCTTTAGCTGGAAAAAAAAACTGTAACCCATTTATCAGCTGCTTGCCATGGCCATATGGTTTTGAGTAATTAAAGTATCCACTGAACTCACCGGCACAAGTGGACTGTAAAACGTACAGCAGAGTGACAAAATAAATGTCAGTGCTCTCGAGAGCCATAAAATATGAAACAACTGCGTTTCTCATCAGAAATATTTGTGAGAACATTAAGCGATCTTTTCAGACAGTATTTAGAACACGTTTAGAATATATCTCATTCCTCGATCCTTATCAAAATTACCTGCGTTGATCTCTCTCTCCCACCCTGAGATTCTGATTCCATGCATCAAAGCAGAGCCTAGGAATCTTCAGTTAAAAAACAAAACTACAACCCTGTGATTTTCATATGTAGCCAACATTGAGAAACACTGAATTAGACAGCAGAACCAGTTGTAGGATCTAGACTGGGTCCAGCAATATGAGTCAGCAATATTTAAATATCAGGATATAAACACTTCCCTCTCTGCCGTCTCTAGAGCAAAAAAAAACTTGCAAGAGGACTATACAAAAACCATTTGAAATCATTAAGGTCAAAAATAGGCTGGCAGAACACAGTGACACATTGGATTGTCAAGATCCTGCTTGTCTTGGGTGCCAACCCTTGTGCTAATGTCCGGAGGCTTCAAAAGCATCAGTCTTTATTAAGCGTATACAGTACACTCCATAATTGGTTTATTATCCATTTGTGTAATGCTCTGAAGCTTACAAACAGCAATGAGTTCTCATTTGATTTTCTGAATATTTCTGTGAAGAAGGCAGAACAGATACAGACATTTTCAAAATGGGAAAATCTGTCCTGGCAAAATCGTGTTTATTAAGTACCGAGTGGGTGCTAGAAATTGTGCTAAGGCCCAGGTCTGTACAAAAGCATAACACTGGGCACCCGCCTTGGGGAAGCTTTAGCCTAAGGGAGGAATGAGAGAAAATTGTAGTAAGTGCAATGAAAGAAAAATGTATGGCTGTAGGGTAAGCACTGAATCCAGCCCAGAAGAGAGACAACTATGTTCATATGAAGCTTTCCAAAGGAGGTGCCACTTGACTGGACAAACGACAAAACCCAGACCAACTTGATCAAGCACACCTCTCTTGCTCCAGTTCACTCGTTTGCAAAATGTGATAACAGTCGTACCTATGGCATCAGTGTAGGAGGATTAAGTTACTACCTTAAAAATGCTTAGACAAATGACTGGCATGTAGTAAGTGCTCCATAGTCCTAGTCAGCGATTGTTATAATTATTGTTATTTTCTATCTCTTGAATTGGAAGCCAACAGAACATATTACCTGTTAAAAAGTTAATTACAAGAAAAAATATTTTAAAATAACTAGCAGGCATATACAAATTTTAAAAAATGGAATGGAATGTGAATGTTAAACTTTCAAGAAAATAAAAATAAATGACCCATTTACTACAATCCGATTGTCAGCACTAGTCTCATTTTGAAAAACAGCACAAGTCAGGAACAAGCCAAATTTTCAACCTTTAAAACGCTATAACTTGGATTGAAACAAACAATGGCATAAAAATTCAATAGGTAGATTATTACAGAAAGTATAAAGCTAAAAACAGATTCTGGATAAACAAAATATTTTACATTTAGTTTGCTGTCATAGAATGTAGAATCTCAAAAAGCATAAATCCCACCACTAGTACTACGTAACAATGGCCGTGCTTGGCAGAGTAGATCAGGACACTGCAAAGGTGGTAATGACCAAGTGGGCATGGGGAGTCAGACACGGGAGAATCTTGGCTGAGCCATTTACTGGCAGGTTATTTAGTTTATCTAGACCTCAATTCCTTCATTTATGAAAAGCCAGTAATATCTACCTTATATACTATTATAAAAATTGAATGAAGAAGTACAAATTGAGGGTCTAATAAATCCAGACAATCCTTTCAGCTGAGGGTTCTAAACACAGAATTTGTCTTCAATAAAAATATTTCCATTTTATTTATAACGACTGAAAGTATTCACACCAGTGATTCCATACTGAACATTCAGATTAGAATTTACCAAGATACTGAAATAGGTTATTTGTACAAATTTATAGCAACAGAATCTGGTTAAAACTACACAGTGAAAGAACAAAGTAAAAGTTTGAGTCCTAAACAGAAAAATTAAAGAAGGGTTTGTTAACCCCAAATTTGCTGAAATCTCAACCTATTTTTGGAAATACTGGATGCCAGGTTTCCATGCCAGGAATTTAAGAACTCGGTGCTTAAACTTTTGTTGAAAACAGATGTGGCATTGTATGACATTGGCACCAGATTTCCGGGGCAACACCAGATGCAGAGTTTGGCCAGATACAGAACCCAGAGAATCTGAGGCCACCGCCTACATCCTGCTGCTTCTTTCTCTGCCACACAACCCACAGCCCTATGAGGTCTATTTAAATTCCATTTGAGTTTCACTCCCATGCCAGACACCAGGGAACATTATGTTGGGGGAATGAGTCTCTTGTTA